TATATATATATATATAACTAAACGAACTTTATGGTTGTACGGCAGTGAAGCATCAGTGCCAGCACTGATGTTGCTGTCATTGATGATGATGATGAAGCCGTTATGCATTCAACAAGTGTGATACGAAAATTAGTGAGCAAGGACGACAACAAGCCTAATGTGTAGGTACGCCAAAAAAGCAGTGAGTATCCAACACCTAAAGTCGACGCTGGTTAGTTCGCACTAACAATATCTTATCTACAAGTAGGGGGTTAGACCACACGTGAAGAAGGAACGCGTCAAGGTATTCTTAATATCCTAGCATATCGTACGCGTAATCATGGTGGTATTCTTGGAACAAATGGATGTCATGCAAACTTCTCGAGCCATGGAATCCCAAAACTTAAAAATAATTCAACAGAGAAGTGAACTGCTCTTTGTGGTGAAACATTTTTTACATTCCAAAGACGTATGCCGTTTGGAGAGAGGAAATTGTATGAAAATAGGATAACATGAGGTATTTCTAAGCCACAGCATTGCTTGACGGCTATCTGTATCAGAATAATATAGTGTCCGGAATTGGACAATGCGTCCACGACAGCACGAAAGTAAAGTGCCACCCTTCGTACTCGCATCAAATGTCCATTTGACGACGCTTCCTGGAAATCCACATGGCCTAACCGCTAAGACACAAACCACGACAAAGTTTCGAGGATATGGAATCCGAGCGCGTGTGGAGACATGTCAAATGCAAGGCATATGCCGCGTGAAATTCACGCGCATAAATGTATCGGCAAGCAAGTGTCCTAAATGCTTTGGCTGTTAGAAAATCCATCCAGTAAGCAGAGAACCGGTGTATTTGAGTTCACGCACAGACTATGTGCACCTGGTGGTCACATGCTCAAAATTTATCACATCTCCTCCCATTCTGTGTGAAAAAGACAACTGCACCATGAACTCACAGAGCAATGGCTGCCGACGTTTAGGTCAAGAGCGTAAGACGCACCCGATTTGTCTCAATTTATCTAGATAAGAGATGACCTCAAAGGGGATTTATTCTTGACTTAAGGAACTTGATATGCTTATCGACTGAAAATAAGACCCTTAATGAGGCCAAAATCTGAACTCTCGGGTTGCATTCTAATGTCTGGATCCGGAAATTCCAAACTAATATACTGACGTTATGTTATCCCACTTTATGGTTGGACAACGACGAAGCACCAATGACGATTAGTAGGAAAAGTATAGTGCCTGTCAAATACGCTACTACAGTGAATCAGCAGCAGTAACTGTCAGTAAAAAAATTGGCTAGAGCTTCTGTGCTATATGGTCTCATCGACAGAGATTCAACTAACAGAGGACTCTGCATGTTGAACTATTAGGGCCTCACAAAGTGAATATTTGGAGAAAATCTACTCCAGTAGTGGTGGTTCGGCTGCGGAAATTTTCCGGTGCAAAGCGGCCGTGAAACTCATAGATGGCACGATAGATGAGATGGAACGGAAGTATTGGAGTTCGGACAGAAGTGCTCAAATAGAGAGAATAAGACTCAGGCCACGGGTCTGTTTACTGTCAACTGATCAGATGAGTTTCCGGGACCATTAAACCTTAAACATTAGCTGACTGACCTAATATCTAGAGAATTTGATTCGGACGCCGAACGAAGTCACCGAGTCTTGACATGCGAGCTCAACATTCGAAAACGTTCACTTAAGAAAAAAGGACGTGAAGTGATTAAAGTGTACGTGCACTCCGGCGGACGGTGGAAAAACAAGATGAAGTTCGCGCGATATAGTATAAAAAAACCCACAGTGAACTGACGCAAGCATATGGTTGGTTTGGTGGACCGCTGGGAGAAACAAGCAACGAACTAAATCGTGCAGACGGAAAGGTACGTCTAATCGATTTGCCAATTTTTCCTCCAAGCGAGTTGAATGTGGGCGATGGTCACGTTGCACGAAACACTCGTTTTCTAAGTGAAGGCGACCTATCCGTTGAACGTCGAGGTAATCGGCCAGTCTCTTTAATCATACCCGATATCACAGCCCAAACCCGGGTAACCACAAAATGTATCTCAATTGGCAAGTGTTCAAATCGAAGGCCAAGAACATAACCAACCAACCAACCAGTGAATGTGTCCATGGAACCTTGGCCCTTCTGTAGCCACGTTCTGTCGAATAACGGCTGACTAAAATTCATGTGCTATATCTGATACTCACATGTTCAAACAGCTAATTGTGCAAAAGCTTGTCTTCCGAAACCTAACTTGCGACCCCATACCTGATGCGTCTAAATGCGACGAAACTCCTGCCTGGAGCACTAGTTAGTGAAAAACGGAAAAAAGAGAATACAAGCGTTAAAAGAACTTATTGGAACCTATTAGAGTTCGTTCACGTCTTACCATGAAGCAATGACTGTCAAAAACACTACTATAAAACCGCTCTGATGAAAACACAGCCATTATCATCAACACAATGTGGATGTCAGAAAATTAAGTCCGGACGGGACCCCGAAGAAGTTGGGTCTGAGAAGGAACACTTACTTCCGGTGGAGGAGAGAGCGGCGGCTCCAAAATGCACTTGGCATAGGACCAGGCAAAGATGATTAGCAGCGCGTGATAGAATATCAAGTACAACACTGCAATCTGAAATCATCAACAGAATTTTCACTCACCTCGCTGCAAAACTGAGCTGACCATCACTGAAAAGAATGTGTTAGTGGAGGTAGCGTTCGTTACCTATGCTAAGCGAATACACATATGCGTAGTAAGACCAGCCGATTATCGCGAAGATGAAAATAACTGGAATCCACTGCATAAACTTCACGCAACACTTGGAGCATGCATTTTTCCCACGGGAGTGCATCGAACTGCAGCGTTGTCAAGGTATAGGCGAGCTGCCAAATAAATGTGGTTAGGAAATATTCAGCAACAAGAGAAAAGGCAAGCAAATAAACATAGGTAGGTATGATCCCAAGTGAGTAGTGAAAAACAAACAGACAACAGACATCTTAGGCTATTGCTCAAGAAATTAACATTTAACAGCCCTATGTGCTCCACTATTCTAAAACCCTCGGAAGAGTTGGTGGTCTCCAGCCAGAGAGATAAAAGAGGGTCTCATGACTGAACAGTGAAGCGATGGAGAAAACCCGTAAAATGTTTCAAAATTGTGATGCACTCTTTCTGCTAATATTATCATAGGGTTCCGCCATTTCCAGTAAATTCATGCACATCCTACAGAAACCAACATATTAGAAGCTGAGGATCACGTTTCGTATAAATCCAAATGAAGAAGCATCTCTTCCAGTGTTTCACTGACAAGTCAAAAGATAGGTCATAAATTTTTTGAAGCGATGTAATCAAAGTGACCGGCCCAGCTGACCACGAGAAAAATGAGGAAAGCAAATGCAGACAATTATTCTAATAACACAGTTACGAAATTCACAAATATAGGGACCGCTGAAAGCGCCAGAAGCATCCCCAGCAAGAAATAAATTTGAGGAGCTCCTTTCGTCGGATGAGATTTAAACAAACATTTTAACTTCGGCAGTGTTCGCATGCCAATCGTCATTGACAGCAATACCATATGAGAATACTAGTGCTGCACTGCCGTACACCCATGTGAATCTATCCGAATAAAATCGTATAATGGAAAGATGGGGATAGGACAGAGGGGGAACTAGAGCTAGCAAGTGCTAACGCTTTTAACATTCAATCAGACAGCCTGGACAGAAACTGACACCATGAACAGCATTGATATCGGTTGACCGCCACGTCGTTAAATGGTGGGTCAGGTGAACCCCCATTTCCGAAATGCGAACACCATGAACGCCAAAATGTTTTGTAAAAAAAACTTCATTCTCTTCTTCTATGTCATTTTCAACACCATGAAAAATGTTTTGTAAAAAAACTTCATTCTCTTCTTCTATGTCATTTTCCAGGTTTCCACTACTCCAAATTAGGCAGAGAAAACAAAGTCCTTTACGGCAGCCGTAACTAGGCCTGCACAACACATGGCCCAGCCGCCTTACATTGCAGTGATCGATGCCATCTGCCTCACCAAACACCCGTCTTCTCATCACCCCACTGCAAAATTCGTTTGTTCCTGCCGACTCCAGCCACAGCTCTGTGAAATCAGTGGTAGAAGATCAGAAGATTTCTCAAACCCTCCGGCTGAGCTGGCCAAGTCTCGTGGCCGCACAACAACACATCATCATTAACAACACAGCTCGCACTGTAGTATGATATACGCCTCCTTTGTGACCTAGTAATATGCCTTTTCGATGCAAAAGGTCACGCAAGGTCTTCGAGATTCGTGCATTTACTTTGTTTGCCACACTACCGTCTGATCTAATACAGCCTCTGAGATGTGTGTAGCATTCCAAAACTTCCAGTGCCACCCTGAATTCTTAGGGCTACGTTCAAAGACTGCACGTCTCGCAACGGGAGCTTATAGAAAACTCATCAAACATTCAGAGGCCCCTAAACATGTGCATATATGTTCACAAACTTCCACATGATCCACGGATAAGCGAGCGAATATAGATGCACTGGATTGTCGACAGAGTCGAAACCACCCTTAAACTACAACATCACCTAGGTTCAATTCAATTCATCAGCTATGAACCATGTGCCATAGGCACATTGGTTCCAGCTGCCACAGTTTCGATCACCGGAAAACGGGAGAGTGGAACAAAAAACCAAGCCTTGGAGGTGAAGGCATTCTCAGTTTGTTCGGAATTTGGGTAGCTACGCATTGAAGGCACCTAGATTCGAGATCATCCATACTGCTCTGTGTGAAAATGTGGTTGATACGGCCAAAATTAATCAGGGGTCGGCATTTCCTGTGCAATTGTAATACGGTGCGGAGTCAGTGGCTTGTGTCAAGGGGAGTCGAACTAACACCAATGTGGTTACTACATTGACTGTGGGTATCCTCTTTGAAATTGGACACCATCATCTACTCACCCCAGTTACCTGGGACGGCCTCCTCCCAGATACACTCAAATACCCAGACAGGCAGTGGATGAAGAATTCATCGCCATCCTTGAAAAGATCAGGTGAAAAGTCGTCAGGACTATCAGGACCAGCATCACAAAGATGTTTGAGTAGAGATGCCCACTCGGACACTTATGATGCCGAAGGGGGTTTCGTATTAACAATCCACGTTTCTCATGAAGCCCGGCAGTCCGAATCGGAAGCAGTAGGTGGCAACGCAAATGTTCAGTGTTGTGTCTAACAGTTCGCACTTTCCTTCATAGCCCTTTGCCAGGTCAAGGACTGGCCATCCCTCTGCTTCCGTCACTCTCAATTTGGCACGGAAAATAGCACTCTCTTCGGCAAACGATGGTTCGGCATAGGCGATCGGTGATCTAACCAACACAGGCCAAATTGCACAGTCAAAACAGCCCAACCAGTAGCCTGATACACACGTCCCTTGAGATTTAAGGATATAACGCTTTGACGCCATGGGTGTCTTAAATTAGCAAACGCGACCGGAGACTTGCAGATTTATGCATTGACCTTATCTGTCACACTACAACAAGAACTAACGCAACTTCCAGGGTACGTAGAAACGTTCCACAACTCCGAGTGCCTCTGGATTGTAGGTGGCGTGTTCAGAAACCACACACCCACGAGCATGACCTTAAACTTTGTGGGTGCATACCAAAGGACGGGATGGATTTAGTCAGTTCATCTAGAAACATCTGACCCTTTTACTCCTCTTCGAAGACGAAAACGATATCCTCTGCGCATTCCAGATCGACAAGGTTTTCGTCAGAGGCTATTTGAACACCGGAGTTTTGAGGACCTTCCAGTGATCGTCTCGTTATCTCGTCGATCACGAAATTAAGTAGGAATGGAGAAAAGAGCACACCTGACGGGCACCGCTTTGTGTACGGAGGCTTTTGAAGAGCTCTCCGTATAGGCTCACACGTCCGGAAGTCTTGGAATGCAAAGAACTCATTATCTTCACAAAATTCCTGAGGATTCCTTGACGGGCAAGCGTGCCAAGGAAAACAGACGGGTCAAATGATGAGTCGAATGCGAACTGGAAAGCTAGGAATACTGAAGCTGTGGATCGTTTGTACGTATGAAGTTGTTCTAGCACCTGACAACGCGGAGATTCGATCAACGCAACCTCTACGAGGCAGGAGCCCTCGAGGCCATATGGAGCCCTACGTTCACCGTCCAGGATTTTACGTCAAATGTAGGCTCTAGATGACCTGATGGTTTCGCTCACAGGTTGTTTTTCGAAGCGGTCGCACGAAGCAACTAAAATAATCTTCGGGCATTCCAAGCTTTCTGGGCCTTTTCCATTTCCTTGGCTTTCTGTACCCACCAAGCTTCACGGTCGATTCGCACGCTCACGTTCACTTGATGTCTGACAATTCGCCGCGTCAAGTTATGTTTGGGATAGGCTGGGATATTTATTCGAGATGTATGTAGTGTCGTTGTTCGGTCTGATATCCAGCGCTTGAGTGGGTCTGGTAGCGCTGTGCCATAAGCAAAACTCCCAACAGTGCGTAAATAGGTGACGACCTCGTCCCAGTTTGCATTCACATGTGATGATGGAACAGTTGGAAAAGACCCTTGAAGACGATTCTGGTAATTTCGTCTAACATCCAGATCTGCCAGTTTCTCAGTTGCCCGCGGTCCTCGAAAAAGAAGGGAGAGGCGGCTCCAGGTGAGCGCGTGGTCAGAATCCACGAATATGTTTCAAAACGAGCGACAGTCAGTTATTGATCCACGCCATCGGTAACTGATGGCGACGCGACCTATTTGAGTGACACCGGTACACCGTTGGAGAACACCATGTCTTCAGACGAATTCGGCTATTTCGGAAATTAGTACTGCATAAAAACAGTCTGCGATCAGCACACAGCTGAAGCAATTGTTCACCGTTGTCCGTATGTACCGAGTCCAATCCATTTCGACCTCCTAATTGAGTATCAGATGCGCTACGCCTGCCCACTTGTGCATTTAGATCTCCGGCAACCATAATGATATCTGAACTTTTAGCTCATCCCACCATGGCATTCAGGATATCGTAAAACCTGTTTTTGATGGTGTCAGAGCTATAGTCAGCTGGGGCGTAAGCACACACGACAAACAGACCACATCCCGCTTGTGAGACTCTTTCATGGAAGTTGCCAAACGAACCGCTCAACGAGCATTCAGTCAAGCAAGTATCCTTCGGCCGGTGACTGGACAATACCAACCGCAACACATCCTGTCGCAACAGCCTCTTGATCGCCAGTAGTGTGCAGACGGAAAGGAGCGAAAAGTGATGCGGCGGGTAGTTCAGCCACTGTGCCTGCATCTTGAATCCTTGTTCCTGATACATAGCACACATTAATGCCAAGAGAGTTCAGTGGGAGAGGAGAAGATTGTTATCCTGTTTCCTGCAGAGTGAGGACATTGAAAGCAGCCAGACAGACTAAACGTCGAGGCTCGAAGATTGATTCCGGGATACCTGAGGACGTGAGCGCCAGATAACGCGCAGATCTTGCTGCAAAACCTATGCAGAACGAGCGGAGTCATCACTCCCAACTGCTTTGAAAGGAGAGTTATCAATGGGGTGGGGAGAAAAAGTATGTGAAAAAGAAGGGAGGCGTCAGCAGTAGCCTGTTTCTGCCTACCCGCCTTGATATACGTAGCAACTGAGAAGTTACGGTTGATGGCACCACGCGACTGTT